GTACATATACATGTATGTGTTTATACATCCTGAAACCATTTCGCGCACCGAGCTCTCTTCCTGGGCAGCAGGCTACGAGGGCCTTGGTGGAGTTCCACACAGATTGGGACCTCCAGGTGCTACAGAACAAGCCGTCGTTTGTTAGGGTTCGAGTCTTCAAGAGCTTCCTTGTAACTAGATGGGTTTAACCTGGCAGACCTAGCAAAAAACCTTCTTCACTGAAGGGTTAGGCTGTGGAGCGGGGGCTCGCAAATGCAATGACAATGATGTGGTTTGGGCCAGGTTAAGGGGGCTTGCGCAGCTTCGATGTGGTTTGCAGGAAAATCGGAAGCGTTGTCGGTGCGTCGAAGCAATCAGGATAAACCACAATGACAACGCACTTAATCCCCTAATCTCAAGAGCTCAGAAGAGGGCAGCTTGGAGCTTGTTACCAGAAGACTTTCCGCAGCTGCGAAATAGGCTGCTGCCTTGGGCTGGCGAAAGCTCTTGAGACGTCAAGTCTGCTGAGGAGTTTCGCTTATTATGATCTGGGCTTAGTCCGAGATTTTGGCTAGGGTTTGGGATATTTTGGTGGTCGGGTCGAAAATTGTCCAGCATCTCGATCCGCCTTATGCACGCTTTCCAACTACACAAACTGCTTGATGATCAGACCTAGAGCCCATGTGCCCTTGCAGGTGGACCGGCTCCGCTGGCGGAAGGCAGCACCAAGCACTAAGACGTCCTCCCAAATCTTACGCTGTACTAAAATATAACGTCATGTCTGCGCGAGGGTTTGTACCCGATGTTGTTGTACATGCCCACCTCACAGAGCTTGTTGGTAACGGNNTGACGACTTTGTGGTAGGTCCCGACGATGTCGCTGCACTACCTTCCCGTTGCCCTTGACTCACACTCGCGCACTCACACTTTTCCCTGGCGCCGGCATTGGACTGAATCAAGTCCGTGCAGAAGGGATGGCTCGAATGCTGTCTGGATCTGCGTGGATTGCTACTCGCAGATTATTGAGCTTGTCAGCTCGTTCTTGAGCCACGATGTTGG